AATCCATTGGTGGGGTCGCACGTTCGGTTCGAGTCCAATTTAGCGACTCTGGAGCTCAAAACTCGTCTAGAGTCACCGGTCTTCTGGCCCACTGTGCTTTGCACCATTTTTCCCTCCGGCATTGTTCCCTCCAGCGGGACCCTTCGGCATGACTGGAGAGTCCTGGAGAAGTCCTGGAGCAGGCGGCCCGGAGGCCTGGAGCCCTGGAGCCTCCAGCCAGCCGGCAACGCCGCGCGGGGCGGCGCAGGGACACACCTCATGAAAATTCATTTTCCGAGGCGCATCCCGAAGCTTATATAAGCGAGTAGATGACCCGGCAATCAGAGATGTACTTTAAAAGCGTGCGGCCGGCCGGCAGTCATTTCATTTTCACACACAGACACACACACAGACACACCGAGTGTGTGTACAAGTCACCGCAGAAACAGCTATACAATTAAACCGATTGAAATTCCCTTTCGTAAGTGCGTGTGCTGGTGTGGGTAATTTAATTTAAAATAATGGTCCAGGCTCTATAACCTTTTTTCCATGATTTCTTACACGACTTTTTATTTCTTTTTTGGCCTCCTCTTGTCACATTAGCCGATTGTCTAGCAGGATGACGGGGCGCGACTCTCAGAGAAACTTAACCGCGGAGGTGCGGCTTGGGCCGAGGCTAGCGCGGCCCGCTCCGCCACGGCTATCTGCATCCAGATCGAACGGACCGACCCGTCGAAGCGTCGTCATCGCCGATGCAACACTTTCGCCCCTCCTGGGTCCCTTGTGGCCCCTTAGCCTCTGCGGCCAGACGGTCCGACCGGCCTGCCCGACCGAACACATCCAATTGGAGCCGTCAATCAGACGCCAACTACGGTGCGACTACGACGTAGTGGGGCCGAACTGTGTTGCGGTCGCACTTTCACCGCATTTTCACACGCCCATTTCGCTGGGCCATTTTGCCTCTCCTAAATTCGACCCTTTGTTTCCCCCAAAAGGTGTTTGCGCTGGCGAGTGTGAGTCCTGGCGAGTGTGGGTCCTGACGAGTGTGGGTCCTGACGAGTGTGGGTCCTGACGAGTGTGGGTCCTGACGAGTGTGGGTCCTGACGAGTGTGGGTCCTGACGAGTGTGGGTCCTGACGAGTGTGGGTCCTGACGAGTGTGGGTGCTGGTGAGTGTTTTTACGGATAAAGCCAGAGCCGCCGCCCCCACCGCAGCCACGTTACTACATACACTCGTTCCGAGCAGGCTGCGCTGCGGCGCGCGGCCGGCCGGCCGATCCAGAAGGCACGAGGGTCGACGGCAGGGCCCAAGGCCGAGGCACCGCGCTGCGCTGCACCGCGCATAGAGAGCGAGGGAGAGGGAGAGAGTGGACGCCAAGCGTTGCGCCTGACAAGCCCGAGGGGGATAAACAACTGGCCGCTTGTGTTCGCGCCACGCAGCCACGCATCGCCATGCAAAAGTGCAGTGGCTGCCGATGGCTGCGCGGCGCGGCAAGGCATGCGTGTACAGGCCGGTGCAAAACCAGAGGGCTTTCCTCCCTGCCGCGGCCAGCCAGGGCACTGGCGTGGTCCACAGACAGACTCCCCTTCCAGCGCTTCCAGCGCGGCATCCCCTGTCTACATTCCAGCGGCCTGAGCCCCCAGCGGGGCGCCCGAAGGCCTGGAGGCCCTGGAGGCCCCAGTGGGGCCGACGGGGGTAATGAATCGACGAAGCAAACACGTTAAAGCGAATCCAAAATAATCAAAACAAACCCGCCGCCGCCGCCGGCTGGCGGCGCGTATAAAACGACACGACAAAAACCCGGCTTCGATTCAGGAGGAGCGGCAGCCTCGTTCTAATTTGGGCGCCAAAAATGGAAACTTCCGAATGCATCCCTGTAATCCATGGGGCTGCCTCGCGCAGGTAACGCGGGGGACGTGAGGGCGGAGCGCGGGGCGGTGCAGGTACGCCGAGGCGAGGGACTCCGATACACATTCTGCGTCTGACCGAAGACGCCAACGCCACTACACTGTACGTCGCACGGACAGGGGGCGGGGCGGGGGCGGAACGGCTGGGGAAGGCTCCCGTCCCACGCCGACACTCGAAAAAACAAGTCTCGAAAATAGCCGCGTTGCGTGGGTGTTTGGAAGCCCGTGCTGTCTGACAAGGGAACGTTTTCAGGTGTCAGGAGCCGATTGCTCCCGCTGCACTGCGTTTGGGTAAGGCCCGTCGTGCAGTGGATTTGCCAGAAGACCGGCGCCGGCAGCCACAACTCTAGACGCGTTTTGAGCTCCAGAGTCGCTAAGCAGGTCTCAAACCGAGCATGTGACCCCCACCAATGGATTGCTCTTTGAACGAGGAATCCATTGGTAGGGTCACACGTTCAGTTCGAGTCCTGTTCAGCGACTCACAAGGAAACGTTTTCAGGTGTCAGGAGCCGATTGCTCCTATACTTTGGGATCTTAAATACCATTTCAAGAAAGAATTTTCGGCACCCACAGTTCGTGCTAAAAGTCACTACTACAACGCCCTAAAATGAAAGTTGAAAATTGACCAATTTTCATAAACTTGACCAAAAAATTTATCTTCAAAGAACGTCCATGAAAGCAGATGATTCTTAGTTCCCGACGGAAAAATTTAAGAGCAGAAATTGCAATTTGCCATGGTAATTGTTTTAGTTTGAAAAGGTCTTATGAATTTTCCCAGCCTACTAAAAATTGAAAATGAAATAAATTGGATCAGAAGAGGCTTTCCAAGGACCCACAGCACCGTGCGGGACACCATTACCCCTGCCACACCGCAGGACCTCTGACCATCCGAGCCTATCCTTTTCTCGTTTCGTTGTTTTTGTTTTTGGGGGTGGAGCACAAATACCCCAGGACATCTCGCAAGTGCCCGCGCCCGCGTACAAGCTCAGTGGGGCTGGCTAGGAGGGTCATCGGAGACGGTGCTCGGAAGCGGCCTTCTGGCATTGCGAGAGACTCTGAAGAGGCAACTCGCTCGCTTGCCCTCGCTAGACTTAACCTCATTGGGGAACTCGCTAGGCGCAGACGAGCAAGTACGACTTCTTAGTCGACAAGAAGCTGGCTAGAGGCCCACTGGAAGTTTGGAGGCTCAACTGGAGCCAGGCACGCCTGACCTTTACACCCGAGGAGTCGCCACAGTCCCTAAAGGCTTGCCAGAGCAAGCGCCGACCCAGGCAAGGTGCACCAGGGATGAGTGAGCCACCCTCAGAAACAGAAACAAAGGAACGAGAAGAGGGTAGGAAAACAGGGATTCCGCAAGATCGTGCAGTTTGCGAAGTTGATTTCCTTTCTGTTCAGGTTTGACCAAACAGTGGTGGGGTGGATTTCGGTATAACCCGCGGTGGCAATGCCAACGGCCTAGTGGCCTAGCAACACTAGGAGTGACAACTCGAAGTGACACACGCACTTTCGTCGCGTGACCCGACTGACTGGCCAAAACGGGCCGGCCCTGACCTTACACTTTCATTTTAGGGCGTTGTAGTGACTTTTAGCACGAACTGTGGGTGCCGAAAATTCTTTCTTGAAATGGTATTTAAGATCCCAAAGTATAGGAGCAATCGGCTCCTGACACCTGAAAACGTTCCCTTGTGAGTCGCTGAACAGGACTCGAACTGAACGTGTGACCCCACCAATGGATTCCTCGTTCAAAGAGCAATCCATAGGTGGGGGTCACACGCTCGGTTCGAGACCTGCTTAGCGACTCTGGAGCTCAAAACGCGTCTAGAGTTGTGGCTGCCGGCGCCGGTCTTCTGGCAAATCCACTGCACGACGGGCCTAACCCAAACGCAGTGCAGCGGCCGCCTGCTCGCTTACTGCCGCCCCCTCGAACCGGCAGCAGGGAGGGGCCGGGCGCGGCAGATGTTGCCTGCATGCGGCCCTGTCCCGGGCCGGCTGGCAGGGCAGGGCAGGGCAGGGCAGGGCAGGGCCGGCAGGGGGGAGGATGTCATCGGGTCAGACGGAGGCGAATAAAACCGAAAAGGAGACCGGGTATCTCTGGCCGGCCCAAAGGCCCCAAGCCGTAAACGCGCCACGGGGGCGATGCGATGCGATGCGATGCCATTTCGGGCGTTTCCTTTCCCCTCGTTTGCTGCTGCACTGCCATTTCGCGCTCATTCTGCCGGTCCGCGCTCCCCGACCGGCCCCGCGCCGTCCCCCGCGCACCTGCGCGCCGAAGCCGATCGGCTAGGGGACGAGGCGTGAAGTCCGTCAAGGTGCCAACAGTGTGCCAACGACGACCTGGACGTCCACCGACTCCCAAGGCAACAGGGCCTCTTTGTTGCTCTTTGTCCGCAGGGGCACCAAGGGGGACGGGACAGTACAGTGTTCTTTATTTATTTTGGCCGGCCGGCCGGTCGGCAGCCCGGGCGGCACCGCGTTCATGCACGACTGCGTCCGCCCCGTCCGCCAGGCCGGCACCGCGCACCGCCTCGGACGCCGCCGTGCCCAGGAAGCACGCGGTGGCGTACTGCGCCGTCTACCTGGCCACCTGGCCGCCGCCACGCCACTTGGCAGACTCTAGGCGGCTTGGCAGCGCGACTCCGTGGTGTCCGGTCCGATTGTCACTTTCCGATCGGATTCCGGGAACCTTGCCGACGTTTCCGGCCCACGAAGTGCAACGAAGTGGCCCGCCGCGCCTCCAGGGTCTGCCAGGTCTGTCTGCCCGGCCAGTCTGCGGAGTTGACGACGGCGAGGTTGCGGGGGAGGGGGAGCTGAGGATTACAATTGAGGAAAGCGGTCTTTACGGATCATGTTCGGAGCGGCAAGAACAATGCGCGCAGGAATGCAGCGCACCCACACTGTCATTCTCTCTCTCTCCCTCGGGCAGCGCTGCGCTCTCCTTGTCACACCGCAGGTGCAATCGGACTAACCAGGCGTGCAGGTGCACACATCATGTTCTTTTCAGACCTTTCTTATTTAAAAAAAATCTTTTATTTTTTGGGGCACGGATTCTGATTTGAAGTAGTACCCATCTGCAATGTGGAAAGCAAACTTTCTTGGTAAACAAGAGGAGACTCACCTTCAACTTTTCCAAGCGCGAGGATGCTGATTGTCATTACTCCAGGTACTCCCCAGGCGGCGAGATGGAAGTAGTGAGAGTTGGCTTCAATGGCTTCATGTCCCCACTTGAGTCCTGCCGCCAAGAACCAGGTGAGGGTCAGAACCACCCACCAAATGCTCGACGACATGCTGAAGAAGTAGAGCACCATGAAGAGAATGGTGCAGAGCCGGTTGTCCGTCCCTTGTGTGATCAATGGGGGCCGCTGAAAGACAAAGGTCATTTACGTTAAAACCAAAAATCCACACAACGAAAGCATAGAAATTAGATGAACTCCATTACTATTGGTTACTTTTCTTACCTCTAAGTTGGAGTACGAGTCTGAAGGCAGATCCAGTCTCTGACAAGCGATAGTGTCTCCAGCAGCAAATCCAAACACGTAAGCCAGAGCCACCATCAGGTAGCACACAGACAGAAAGATGATTGGTCTTTCAGGGTAGCGGAAGCGGTCTGTGTCTATCGTGAATGTCAAAACAGTCAAGAGACAGGATGCAGCACACACAATGGACCAGCCTCCGACCCATCTCCTTGCAAATGCCGTTTGATCGTCACTGAAGAACATGCGATTGCAAGGTGCACCGCAATTCTTCTCAATTGTATCTCCAACTTTCAAAGTGTAGTTGAGCTTTTCTGACACTCTGTACTGTTCTGGACATTTGAAGGGCAGGTGGTGCTTCCCCGGCTGTTGATTGGGGGGCATTGGTCCAGATGGTCTGCCTGAACCTGGCGACACATGGGTGGAGCCAGGAGGCATGGCGGGTCCTCCTCCTCCACTGCCACTGCGCTCCGTATTGCCTGTGTTATCCCAAACACAAATTTCTGAGCCCCCAGACTCGGGGAAGCGCTCACAGTCCAGATTCTCAGGCCAAGGGAAGCCAAACTTCATCATGAGGGCCTCGCAGCCCAGCTTGGAAGACCTGCACAAGTTCCGGCAGGGTGGGATGGGTCTATCCAGGATGGTGCACACTGGAGCGTACATGGTGCACAGGAAAAACTGCAGATCGGGGCTGCACTTGACTTTGACGAGCGGGAAGAACTGGTGCACCTCCAGGCCCGCGTCCTCCTGCCGCTGGTGGTGCAGCAGGTTGGGCATGATGGTCTCGTTGTAGGCGATGCCCTGGCAGAAGGGGATGGTGATCCTCTCGCACTTGCCGTGGTGGGGCAGGCTGTCCTGGTCCTTGACGCGAGACGTCATGCCACTGCTGCAGAGGGGCAGCATCGCCACAGCGACGAGCGCCAAACACAACAGACGCCTCATTCTGGACACAACACTGGCACAGGGCGACATAACCTCACTTTCACACAGCACCGCACAGAGGCATAACACTTCACTCGGAACCGGCCAGAGCTGTCGCACTGCTCGCCGAATTCACCGCTCCCTCTCGCACACGAAAATGAATAATTTAGGTTGGCGGGGAAGCCCGCGCCGCGGCCTCGAGTCACAAACGAGGAGGATGCCGACACAATAACAGTGACCCCCGCAGAGACGGCACCATGGCGGTTGCTTTCATCACGGACAGTCCGAGATATTCACATTTGAGCCGACTCGCACTCGGCCGCGCGTCCGGCGTCCCGCAAGGCGGTCGGGGGGCGGTTCCAGCGGGCCCAAGTTGCGGAAGGAGTGAAGTGCGACCGGCACCGCGAGTAGCGAAATGTAAACAACGCGGTCCGCGGTTTGAGACCGCCCGCGCGCGTCGGCTGTACGGCGGCCGGCACGGGACACGAACGAACCTCCCGCTGGCTGCGCTCGGAGCGGACTGGCGGCGGCGGCGGAAAACCGAGCCGAAGCCGAAGAGGCCCGAAGCTCCTCGGCCGGCGCTCGGCTCGCAGTTCGTAGAGCCGTGTGGTGGGTGTGGGTGGGGGTGCACGAGCATTCCCGAGCAACAGGGCAAGACCCGAGCTTTCGGCGCGGTCGAACTTTTCGATCCGAAAACCTGTCATTCAATCTGTCAGTCCGCACCAAATCCGCCTCATATTTTCCCCTTCCCACCCTTTCCCTAATGCGCCATCGCATGTGATAGTGATAGGCACCTTGAGGTGTTTTGAACCGCTTGAACGGGACAATCAGCGGTCATAAGTAGTATAAAATGTGGAAGTGGTGTGGAAGTGGCGTGAAAGTGTTGGTGAAATACTAAAAGATGATGTGAAAAAAAATTACTTGCTATATTTATTGAAATTATTTACAGATGAGAATATATCATCTACAACATTCATTCATCACTTCAGTCAACAAGTTTGAAGCCTTTCATGGCAAGTGAGTATCCCCAAGTGGGAATACTGCTAAGAGCTAATTTTGATGTTTTTTTTTATTTTTTATGTAAAAAGTTCCAATGTGGAATGCGTACAGAAAATATGCATTGATGCATCTATTTTAACAACAAACTGGGCACATGAGGTAATCATTCAACAGTATGGACAACATAAACAATACTATAAAGAAGTACAACAAGAATGAATAATTTGCAATCACTCCATGCCGCTCAGTGAAAGTCAGTTGAATAAAAAATAGAATTCAATATTCTGGTTGACAAATGTACTGTGTTATACATACATCAATCCTTTTAGAAGCAACTGATTCCTCACAAGGCGGTGAGGACATGTTTTTCAACTGCAAACTTCAACCTCCAGGCCCGGTTTGTGTCACAGCCAAAACCATGTTGCTTAGCGTCAAACATGGATATACATTTTAACCAAATGTACACATTAACAAAAAAAGATGGACACATTTTTTTATAAAAAGAAAGAGGTCTGTAAGTAATTGTTTGACAATCACAGTCAAAGCAGGACCTAAACAAAATTTAACCATCTCAGAAGATCTTGCAATTAAGGCTTTTCACTTTCATACATAAGGACACACATACCACCTTCACACTGTCAACTAATTTTTACATTTGCAAATGCCAATAGATACTGAACACTTACAATAGAAAAATTCATATGTATTTGTGCCAATGACCTCCACAAGAAAATCTCTTTTTTTTCCATGCTAATAAAAAATTCCAAATCAAAACAAACTTCAAAGAGATTCCAATGCTTCACTAGAGCATTATCAAACGACTGGGTCTTCACTGAATGAACTAGTCGATATGATCAACCTACTATGACAAGTAGGAGCAAATCAGTGCAGATGCATGTCAAGTTATAAATATCAAGATTATTATGATTAACAAAATTGAAAAAACATAAGAAATGTTTAAAAGAGATTTTCTTGAAAAGGAACTAAACTGTAGAGCCCGACAATAGCTTTAAAAACCAACAAGATTAAATCGGACCAATGAAGACCAGAGTCAAAACCGACAGGAGGACTCAATCAATATGACCAGATATCAGAAGTACTTATGCCCCCCTTCACAGGGAAAAAAATACACAGAAAAGGATGTTTGTCAAAAGAACTGCTTACTCACATAATACGGTCATCAAATGACCATGAATGAATACACAAAAATATGCCACAATGCTTAAATATTAAATTTCAGTTCAGTTACAAGTGAGCAGTTCAGAAATATTTAAAATTAGACACAAATTAACCCTGTGTAACTTCATTGGCACCTGCCACTCAACAATAACATATACTTTAAATAGAAGAGACATAGTTGTTTTTCATAAAATGGAAAAGCAACAATTGCACTGTTTAAAAGCAAACATAAGAGTTAAGAGAGAAAAGGAATCATCCAGAATTTTAACTTGAAATTTTTTCTAAACATTTGTCTTGCACAACACTAATATTCATACTTCTCGTGTAAACCAACATTCACTCGTCATATATTCTAGCAGTGAAATTTGCTTCCACTTTAATATACAGGACAAATATAAACTTACATCTGGTCAATCTGAAAACCATATGTTGATACAAGTCCTAGAAATTAAAAACCGATTTTTGAATTGTTCATTCATTTTCTTCTTAATTCAAACACTTGTCAATTTATTCAAGTCCCTTAAAGTAGGAACAGCTCCTGAGAGACCATTGATTTAAAATTTGAATCCTTCACTAGGTATGGATTGGCTGGGGTCAAATGCAAAACCTGTTTCTGTTGACTGGGGCATGATATCTTCATCTTCAGGCTGAGGGATGAGAGCAAATATTTCATTAAAGCATTTCAGATAAAAATAACTAAGCATAGGCAAAAGGGAAAGTTAATGAGAAAAATAATTACCTCATCAGAGAAGTACTGCTCAATGATTTCATATGCCACCTTGTAGATGTCTAAGTTTTCATGATTCTGGAGAGCTTCAATTTTGTCCAGGCCTGAATTAACAAAGGAAAATGTTAATATAGGCTTGACAATTTGTACCGGTTCAAATAAAAAAAGTGATTGACACTCACCTCCACATTCTTCAATCATGTTTGTGAGGGTCTCCACTTGAGGTCCAGCCATCTTGAGCATATTATTGATACCGTCAAGAGTCACCTGGATAACTTGAGTGTCCTGGCATGTCAATAGATTACAGAAAGGAGGAACAACGCCCTCCTGGATCAACTGAGCAATTTGTTCGCGGGATCCGCTGATAGTCAAGTTGCTAACAGCCCATGCAGCCTCTTTCTGTGTTTGGAACTCGCCCTGGAAAATGTTTTTAAGCACATTAGCATTGATTTTTACACCAGCAACACTTTGAAAGCAATGTGAAACATACCTTAACTAAATTCTCAATAATCATTGGCAGAAGGCCAGCATCAATTACTGCTTGAACCTGCATCTTATTACCAGCAGTGATATTGGACAAGAACCAAACTGCCTCCTGTAAAAGGGAAATACAAAGAGAATTAAAACATGGAAACATATTGATAAGACTTTAGACCACAAATCTTGAGATGAATGAACATGCCTTGCAAATTTTTTCCTTCTGGTGGGACAGGAGGGCTGGGAAATGTGAAAGAGCATCACAGTTCAGAACAACTTGAGTTTGTTCATCAGTACCAGTAACAATGTTGCCAACTGCTCGGAGAGCTGCTGTCTGTAGCTGCAGAAAAGAAAATAAGAGTTGAGTAGGGTAGAACTTATTTGAAATTAGCAAGAAAATTTAAGATGAAAAATATTTACCTTAGCTTCCTTGTGTGACAATAGAGGAATGAGATGTGGAACTACACCACTATCAATAACCAACTGGATTTGCTCATTACCACCATCAGTAAGGTAGCTCAGCGCCCACACAGTGTCAATCAAGATCTGAAGGAACAAGGAAACCGTTAACTCAAATTTTCCCCAGCAGAATTATTATTATTATTATTATGGGTTCTGAAGACAAACTTACATTCGTATCCACATGATGGATGAGGAAAACGAGCGCTGGCAGCAGCTGCTTAATTGTGTCAACTGGGGGAGGAGGGTCTTTGCTTCGACAAAGATTAACAATGACCCAAGTGACATTCCTTAAAAATGAAATTTGAACCTCTGGAGTGATGAAAGATAGGAGAGGCTGCACAACACCCAGTTGAATGACGTAGTCTCGCAGACCAGGACCATCACCAATAACATTACCTACAAAGAGGAAGAGCCAGATCAAAAATTGACATCTAATTTGAATGCACTCAAAAGTTCAGCACTTTGGCTGCCTGTCACATACCTAAGGCCCAAACAGCTTGCTCACACACATTCTGTTGACTGGAGCTGAGAAGTTGAAGGAAATAGGGAACAGCACCCGCTTCAACAACTGCCTTGGTTTGAGCCGAAGTTCCACTTGCAATATTGGTAAGTGCCCAAGCAGCTTCAAACTGGAGTGAGGTGCTGTAAGGAAAAACTAGCATCAGAAAATGCTCCTGGTGGAGTAAGAAAAATTCAAAATATGCAATACATACTTGTCACTACACTGGAGGCTCTGAACAAGAATGGGAAGGATACCACTTTCAATCAAAGAATCAATTGGAGGGTTCCGATCTGATGACAACATCTTCCGAGCTTTCTGAACAGCTGTAAGTTTGATCATTGGGTCCGTGCTTTGAGCACTTTGAACAAGTGACGCAAGATCAGTGGATCCCAAGTGGACCATCTCTTCCTCATCTAAAATTAGATTAAGTTGATATATATTGTTACTGCAAACCATATGTTACCCAGAAAAATAATATTCGATCACAAACCTGTTGAATCTCCAATTGGAACATTTCTCCTCTTTTGCAAGGATTCCTCCCTTTTGTTTTTGCGAAGTTCCACTGTAACTTCATTTCTCCTCCTTCGCATTTCCTGAAAAGACAAAAATAAAAAATTGTAACAATGAATGAGTAAAGAATTATTTTTAAAAACTCTTTCACCTATGCATGCAAGTAAAATAACCAAACATGACCTATTAAAACAAGCTTGGAACCAGTACAATTGAGTTTTCAATGACAGGAACAGACAGGGAACTCACACATGCAAGGAAAATGCATCAACCCAGGTACTTTTGAGGAAATTCCACAAAATATTTATGAAGAGAAAATTAGAAAACTTAGCAAATGTGTCTGAATAGCATTTCATGAGTGACTCATCCATGAGCCACAGACAACTAACCTATACTGTAACTTATGACACATACTTTGTGTATGGAAATCATTGCTCCCAATACAGAAATTACAAAGCCATAGAGAGCAATCAAATAGGATATACAAAGTAGACTAAGCATATAAGAATAAATGAGGTGTAAGTAATGCAATTAATCAGTAAAACTAGTGTTTGGTGGCAGGTAGGCAGTAGAAGGTCACTTAAACTATGGCGAATATCACGTAAACAACCGATGAACGAAAACAATTCATATCAAATGAAATCACGGCAAATAAATACTATCCAAGGAAGTGCAAATTTAAATCTACGTCAAAATTATTACAAAATAGGTCGAAAAGGGCCATGCCGAGCCTTGGCTAGCCTTGTGGGCCAATCTGTTACTAAAGTCATATGAAATCTTTCACTCATACAGCAAACTCAAACAGAAAACTGGCACCAAAAAAATTAACTTCATCAAAATCGGCATACTCACATCTTGATCTTTTCCTTTGTTCTTGAAAACAAGAATCCTTTTCGTCGGGTCAGACGCCATTTTTCAGGAGTTTTCCGCAACTGTGCTTCTTCAACGAAAGGCCGGCTTGATCACGTCGTCAGGTAGAATGACGCGAAAAACTCGCCACGCGTAAGTGGTACACACCTTTAACAGAACAATTTGTCAAGTAAACTTTGCACAATACGTCGCAGTTAACGCGCAATTAGACCAAATTTGTCACCTTACGTGCTCCACGCCTCACACTGCTGATCAGTGGGAAAGGGAAAATGGAGCACACTTTCAAGGAAAGGTGTCGTTCAAGGGAGAAAGCGAAGGCGGTGCTCCGATGACGTTTGCGCTGAAAATTAAAAAGACCCTTCGAGAAAGGAGGAGCGAGTGTCTCGGACATAGAATATTTTAATTGAAGTCTGGTGGATGCGTTTGACGACCACAAAAGTTGATGATTTGAAAGATTTCGTGGTTAGACTCATGAGAATCCTGGCCGTACAAAGAGCAAGGGTTCTGATGCCAACGCCGACACCAGCGCCACTGCCGGCTGAAAATTGTACTGCTGTGTCTCTTGTGTGAAAACAAGCAGAACACAGCAGAAGGGTTGTTTGGTTTTGCACAACTTTGTTTGGGCAAACATGACGGTCCTCACCAAGCCCGTGAGCGAGATGAAGAAGAAGTCGGGTCTGTCCGAGCCCCTGGTCGCGGCCGAGCACCCTGTCGCGGTTGGAGGAGGCGCGGCGGACTGCGACGTTGTGGTGGTGAGTTCGGTTCGGCCTCGGCGGCCATTCGGTTTCCAGTCACCTAGGGCTCCAGGATCAGGATCCGCCCCCTGCTCGCCTGGCCTCCAATTTCTCCTTCATTCTTCCATGCCTCGAGGCGCACATCTCCAGCAAACTACCATTGATATCCAAATAGGTTTCATCTTATGTCTACTTCCCCACTTTCCTTTTTTTCGTTTCAGTATTAACCAGTTTTCCTTGTACTGTATTGTGAGGGTTACACCCCTCCTCCCCCTCCCTGTTCAACCCCTATGTGTCAGTAAATTTATCAGCTCCAGATTTTTAGTTTCAAAACAAGTTTTTCGTATGTTAGTACTATGATTTTGAACACAAGCTTTACTACTATTTTTTGCCTTTTGCATCTCAATCTCCTGGTACTGAGCTTACACAGTAAATGCTGTCACAGGTGTACAATTTTTTGCCCCCATTTGTTACATGAAGAGTCATTTGTTACATGAACCCACACCCATGTATTGATGCCCTGTGTGGCTTTTGATTTACTTCTCTCTTTATTTTTGCAGGTACCCTCTGGCAAGCTAGACAGGTTGCCCTGCAACATTGGCATTGATGGAAGAAAACCACAAAGATACAGGGACAGTGAGAATCTGGTAGTTGTCAACCGCAATCAGTCTCGAGTTAACTCCGCCACCACTGTCTGCCTCTTCCTTGTTGGGCTCCTTGTGTTGAGTATTGGTATTGTTGGAGGAATCTACCTTTACCAACAGTGCGCTCGCAAGCCAGTGAGTATTGGATATTTTCAATTTTTAATGTGACTGCTGGAGATGATCCACTCAATGGAGCCTTTGTCTTTTAGATGCAACGTCTTCGAGGATTCTTAAATGTCCCTTACAACAGTTCTGAAGGTCGCCAGTTGTACTATCACTTGGACTCCCATGCTTCTCAACAGATTGGTACTCCTGATGTATGTTAAGACAAGACAATAATACCCATCTTGTGCCAGTATAATCTGATTTTTGATGGATTGACTTCTTAATTCAATTAATTTTCCTAGGTTTCATCCAAAAAGGCCGGCTACTTTTATGAGCAGTTTGAGGCTGCTGGTGGTTATGAGCGCATTGATGTTCCAGAATATAATGGTGGGCGTCATGGGCAGTTTATTCATGACTTCAAAATAGTGAGTAGCTTATTTTAAAATTGACATGTAGTCAACAAATATTTTGAAGCATAGATTTATTTGTTTTTTATCATCAACCTTTTTTTTTGTGTGTGGTTTTTAGAACAAAACTGGTATTGTTGACGTTGATGGGAAACGCTGCTTTGTGATTCCTCTTGACCGTGATGCTGTAGTGTTCCTTCCAAGCTTTGTGATCGATATTGCCCGTAAACTGACCAGCCGGGGTGCTGATGTGAAAGTGATTGTAAAGACCATGCGTGTTGCATTCCCACCATTGACTGACATGACCACCCTTGGAGCAAGGATTGCTCAAGAGTGCTCAGGAATGAAAATATACTCCCTTGTGAAAGCTAATCTTGGACCAGGTAATAAATCAATACTATGTTGTTTTATCAATAGAGTAACTTTTTATTGATATAAATTGCTTGCTAACTATTACTTTTTTCAGTATTCAAACGAAGTGCGGAAGAACCAGTAGTCTTTGGATCTTTCTCTGGAAACACCATGAAAGTTGAAATTGTCAACTATCAAGAGGTGGTGGAAGCTGAGAAAGAAAGCAATGGCATTGATGGAGCTTAGGTGATTCATTCTTAAGTTCACTCAGTAGCATAATTTTTCAGCATAACTAATGCTATAGTTAGTCCCACCAGCGGAGTACTACCCCAGAAATTATTTTTGGGGGTCAGTATTGCTTACTGCCTTCTTGCAGGCGTATTTCATGTGGGTTGCCTATCTATTGTAATTGGGGTCATGACACCCCCATTTTACCCCATTCTCCTCCTCTCCTTTGTTCTCACCCTCTCACCCGTGATGTTTTCTGATTAAATCAATGCTGCTTATTCTGGGCTGGATGTGATACTGTAAGGATCTCTTGCAAGGCATACTTTCAGCTCATTACTTTCTGCCTTGGATTAGTTTCTGTGATTGGAGTTTAGTTCAATATGATATTATATGCAATGATATCTCAGAAAGCAGACAGTGATGTTTGAGAGGAAGAAACTGTTTAACATCTTTCCCTATAAACTCCAAAAACTCATTGGGATGTCGTTTTGTTGTCATTTTCTTTGACGATTTGATCACTTTGGGACATGTCATGAGTTTCTTGGCAGTTGTTCCATATCTCAACATGCTGTGTCCTGCTTTATCCTCTCTTGGTGTTTAAATGTGATATTCTTATTTAGCCGTATTTGGTAAGCCAAAGTTTGTAGACAGTAAGGAATCATCTCATGATTAGGTGGATGATTAACTTGTTCAAACTCATAGTTTTGAGGTTTTTAATATCCATGTAGTGCATTATCATATAATGACAGTAATAATAATAATAACCCAGCTGTTATTCCTTTTCTTTCCTCTCTGTTTGTGGTCTGAACACGTGATGGAAAAGTGGATAGAAAGTCTGACATAAGAAAGAGTTACGGAAAGTCTGAAAAGTGTATTAAAATGCCTGAAAAGTCCTGAAATGAAATTTGAGTGGGTCAAATGATCAAATGATAATCTGTACAATCTTATGTAAGTTTGTAAAATACTCAAGTGCTTCTTTCTATCGGTAGCAGAATCAATGTGATACTCTAATACAACATCTCATTGGTACATGACATTCCATAAAGATGCAACAGTTTTTGTTTTTTAAATGATTTTGTTTCTTTAAACAGCTCCTTAGAACACTTTAGAATAGATTTGTAAGTCTTTGACTTTTCACTGAAGCTCTGCAGAGCTACCAAGACATGTGTAAGAGTTTTTGTTGCTGGTGTGTGATGTCCGTCATACCATAGCTATGCAATGTCGAGAAATACTTTCTTTGTACTCTAAGTAATGTACATGTAGGATGTAAAATAAAAATGGTTCTGTCACTTTTCAAAAAGAGAAAAGCATTCCTTTTAGTTTCTAAACATAAACTGCACACAAAAATGTAGTAGATGTGATGAAAGTCATTCATTCAGATTTGGATTATTGCGAAAAAGACTCCAAATTTAGACTGAATGTAATTATGAGGTAAGGCAAGGATAAATGAAATGGCTATAGTGCTCAAATCTATGGCATGTCCATTAAATCAAATTTATTTGTTAAGCAAGGGCTCTCTTGTTTCAACTTTAGTTTAGACATTCTGTGTTCACACTTCATGATATTATTATTATTGCATTACCATTACAGAAATAAATCATTAAAAGCAATCTGTAAATTAATTCTATTAAGATACCTCTTGAATATCACTTTTTTTTTTACAGTGCATTCAAAACACCATATACAGCAATGATAAATTAGGAAAGTCCAATGTGACATACCTTGACTTAAATTAGAAGGTGGGAAGGGGTTCACCATTTATAGCTCTTTGCCGAATATTGTACAGTTTCTTTATCCATTTTTCTAAGCGTTGTGGCTCATCAACCAGGAGCTAGATGAAAAAAAAAACAGATCAAAATTAACACTAATTTAGAGTTACAAAAATTTACAATGTTTACTGAAAGGGAACATACACTTGAGTGAAAAATAGCTTTAGGATCCTGCTTTACGAGCACAGGAGTTGGTACACATGGTTGACTTGCAAGATCCACAACCACTGGGTATTCATCTCGTTTTGAATTAGAATTAAATTGCCGAGGGGAAAAGCCATCTGAATTTATTTCATCTAGAAGGTTACTTCTATTTATGGCTTCGAGGACCATACCTGGAACACAGTTAAAATAAACTGTTAGTATTTGTGTTACAGATAAGGAGTAGATATTACTCAGAAATTTTCAAACTTACGGGTTGGGCTGACTTCTCTTTTAGCACCAATGAGGCCCTGATTCCGAAGTTGTTGGTCAGCAGTTTTAGCTGCCCAAATAGCTTTTTGAAGTCTTTCAGTAAGGGCTTCTTCAGGTGCAGTTTGAGAAAATGAGGGCTGCTGAACAGAGGGTTGAGACCGTGACGTTGGCGAACTCCTAGACAAGCGATACACAATGGCTTTTAATATAAAGCAATGCCTGTGGAGACACAAAATATATGATAGTGCTAAAAAGTACACACTGTGATTTCCCATGTTGACTGGAGGTGTCAGAATGCCGTTCCCTTTGAGATCTGTCTTTGGAAACAGATCCTGAACTTGATTCCGATGATGATCGTTTACGTGAGTGTCCTTTGGAGCGAGAGCGGGACCTCCTTGAGTGATTTCTGGCATGAGATCTTGATGGACTGTGGGAGGATGATTTCCTCCTAGAGCGACTTTTGGAATGAGACCTTTGGAAGGAATACAAAGACCTTTTTGAAGAAAACACAAAGAACAATACGAAACCATAGACAATGGAAGAGCAACAGACCTCGAGCGTGATCTTCTCCTGGTATGGTTTCTTGAAGATGATCTAGACCGCCGAGTATATCTGCTTTTGGATTTCTCATGAGAGCGATCTGAAGACCGATCACGATCTCTGCGACTAACGTACAACTTGTAAGATAAAGTCTACATATATGAACATACACTTGACCAGATAAAGTCTTCTTACCTGGATTTATGGCTCACATCTGAGCTGTGAGATCTTCTCCTACTGTGACCAGATCTGTGTTTTCTTCTGCGATGCCTACCTCCTGAATCTGAGCTGGATGAGCTAGGGGACCTGGTGACAGATTTAAAGTAAATAATTAAATGAAGATATGCAAAGGGAAGCAAATAAAAAAGAAATAATTTTCAGCTAACCTAGCTTTCCTGCTTGATTTTCCTTTCTTTCTACTTTGCCCATCACTTGAATCAGAGTCAGAAGAATATTTACTCATGACAACACAACAAACGTCAGTGGTGTTCAAATTTCGGTGTTTCCCAGTAGATTATGCGATCACAACCCAATACAAAGTACAAGGAGATCACTAGGTACTGAACACAGAGGCAAAAACAAATTCCAAATTGTTCAACAGTGTCCGGCAATAAAATCCCACAACAGCTATTAAAATTAGAAAATTAGACAGTGAAAAGTGAAGGTTAGCGTGTTCTGCTGTGCTTAGCTTCGTTCTGGACGCCCGATTTGTCATACTAGGTGTCGTGTCATGCCAACCTTTGAATTGAAACTGCGTCTTCTCTTTGCTTTGGATGTGTGTAGGAGCGGTTAATTTTTAGAACAGCTACTTGGGACTCGAACGAGGTAAATGACATTGAATGGAAGAAACCCCAGGTTCAAGCCCAAAGCCTAACTTTGCGTTGTTCTCGCAGAGGGATGCATGGCGAGCGCCGTGTGGATAGGCAGCCCAATTGACATGTCTTCCCCGCGTTTGCCTACCTAGCTAGGCAATTCGCAGTGCAGGCACAGAGGGCAGAAGGCACTTCACGGCGTCAAAGATCATCGGTGGCTGGATCTGGAAAAGGGGCAGCAGACACCTGTTGCGGTTGGCGTGGCAGAGTGCAGCGCACTGGTAAACTGACAGCATGACCCGTTCATGACGTCATTCAGAAACATCAATGGAAACATTTCGAGTACCTCGATTGTTTCGTATACAGTGCAGCACCCTCATCCCTGGAATCGCTGAGTGGCGGTGGCCAGGCGGTCGCCCCCCTCTGTGCCATGCAGGTGTGAGGCCAGGGCGCAGACGCCAGACCCAGACGCCACTCCGGCCAGGTGTGAAAGAGGCAGAGCCTTGGAGGGGTTGGAGTGGCCACTGCTGGAGCTGGTGGTCTAGCGCGGCCGCAGCCACCCGGGCCTGCCCAAGATGGCTGCTGCCGTGCCCGCGCGCCCGCCGCCGCCAGGGCGTGCGCGTCGGCCCGGCCGTCGGCGTCCAGTCCGCTCAAGACCGCGGCGGCACACGGTTCGTAGGGGACGCTCCGCGGCCCGCGTGGAATACCCGGCGTGCTCGAGCTCGCGTGCGTGTGTGAGTGAGTGCCTCGATCAGTGACAGCCTTCCCCTGGAGAGCACAGCCCATCGACGTGACAAAGCAGGAGGAATCGTTGAGAGTGGTGCGCGGAAAGTGACGAGCGAGGCGCGCAAATGGATGTGGATTTCGTTTTCGTCGGGTGTGACAAAGTGCCATCTGCCGGGGCTGCCGGCGCCGGGCCCCGATAGGCCGGTCTCTCCACCGCCGACCATCGCATGTGGATATAAAAGGACAAGCGGATTCGCCGAGTCATGGCGTCGCTGACGGGCCTTAACTGCCTGCTGCTGGCTGCCTCAGGTAAGTTAACGCCAAAACATTAGAAGAACAAGTTTCAAAACATCAAATATTGTAAAATGCGAAGAAATACTGGAAGAAATACTGAAAAAATATTGGAAAGACGTGCCTCATGGAGCTCTCGAACATCGTCTCCCTGGGGGTAAGCATCGTAGGGACGGTGTCCGCCGTCCCTCCCCTCTGCCGTCTGTCTCTGCGGGCCTCTCTTGTTGTTGTTGTTCCCGCCTGATTTCATGCCTGATTTGGAAGGCAAACAGTTGGATTAGGGCAGCTCCGGCCAGCCCTACCTGGTCCCGAAGATACCCGAGCCGAAGACGGGGTGGCGCCAAATGACTCCTCATCGGCAGCGATGCCTCAAAGCACCTCAGGGGGAGGACCCGACCCCCGTGGGTGGGCGGCTTGGCAAGGGCGGACTTTAGTTATTTGTTTTTTGCTGTTATTCAAAACCCAGATCCCAAGCGAAAACGAGTCGAATGCAGGAATTCCTCAGGTTTTGCTGCCGGGCATGTCGTCACTGTCAGTGGAGGCTGCAGTGCAGTTTCGCTTCGGCTTCTGTGTCAGTTTTCAGCCTGCTTCGCGCCAGCTAGCTCGAGCGACTCAGGCTTGAAGCACTGGCAATAAGTTTCGGACGCGAGTGCTGTCGCTTCGCGCCGGCTTTTTATGCATTTGCGTCTCGACCGACCCAACCGCGTGCATGTGGCAGCATCCCCCTTGCCGGTGCTAACTGCCGGGGTCCGCCATTGTGCACTAATAATTATCAGGTAAATGCTCCGCGTGCGGTGTGACAGCGGTGTGACAGGGCGCGCGGCCCCCCGTGGCTGCCGACCGCATTCTGTTTTCTGGAGGGTCAGGGGGCAAATAGAAAGAATTAACATCACTGAGTGTGGATGAGGAAGCAGTGGCAGACCGGTTGCGGTTTCCTGAAGGTGCTTCCCAGCGCGGCGAGGGAGTTGCTCCGATTCGTAAACAATCACTGCCCGCTCGTGTCAAATGGGCCGCGCGCATTGGATTGGCGACATTTCTCGGCGTGTACTCGCTCCCCGTGTTCCTTCCGGCGCGGCGGCCTGATTGGTGCTGCCTTTGTGCGGCTGTCCGGGGCGACGCGGCGACATTGGGGTGACGACTCGTGTCAATCCGCCGACGAGACCGGACCGGTGCGTGACGTGACGGCTGGACGCGGCTGGACGGGAGCGAGCGCGTGGCGGGGCGTGGCCGTGGCCGGGGGTGGGTCCGGCGCAGCGCACAGTGGGCCAGAAGACCGGTGGAGGCGGCCAAAATTCCAGACGCGTTTTGAGCTCCAGAGTTACTAAATGGGACTCGAACCGAACGTGTGACCCCACCAATGGATAGCTCTCCGAACGAGGAATCCATTGGTGGGGTCACACGTTCGGTTCGAGCCCTGTTTAGCGACATGGCTCAAAACGCGTCTAGGATTTTGGCCGCCGGCGCCGGTCTTCTGGCCCACTGTGCGGCGGCCTGCGGCGGCGGGCAGGGTGGACGGTCTCCGCACGGCGCCGCTGAGTCTGAAACTGCACTGTGCACGAACACCCTACCTGGTGTCGGCGTCCACGGCGTCGTCGGCGGCAAAGGCTGCCGGCGGGGCTGACGGCCTGCCAGGCTGACGGCCGGCTTGACGGCGGCGGACGGTCCGTCGGATCGGATCGGGCCGTAACAACCGAAACAACGGCCGCCTTGTACACCGGCCGGTAAAATAAGGAGGCGGCGAGACGTCCAATGAGACACGCATGGCGGTGGCGGCACGGCACGGCACGGCGGGGCGGCGGCCGGTAGGCCGGGACGGGCGCTAAGAACACCGTGCCCTGCCGGTAACGAGAGCACCGAGAGTACGGGCAGTGGAGCTACCAGCTGGCACCGCTTTTATTCAAAACCCGAACTTCGTCTCCTAAAACAAATTTAGAATTTCGGTGAAAACCGCTCTTTCCAGCAGCATAATCTCGCTGATCAAAAAAGAAAAAAAAAAACAGTGAGAGAAATAAAGAGCTTGTCAGTTTGTGGCTCTGATTTAGCGGAATGCAGGGGGAGCCGTGTGCGTGCATCTCCGTGCTCGCTCAGGTGTGTCGAGTCGTAGTAACACAAAGAGGGAGGGGAACTGGGCCGTTTTCCGGGATGAATGCGAGCTCCAAAAGGACGCGGGCCCAATGATTCTGCACTTATTCCCGATCGACTCGCGCGGTGCGTATTGCTGTCCTAGTAATGTCTGTGTGTGTGGTGTGTAAGAGTGTGTGTGTTGTATGGTGTTTGTATGATGTGCTTGCTGTCTGTGTCTTTGTGTGGCTGTGTGTGTGTGTCTGTGTGTGTGTGTCTGTTGTGTGATGTGTGGGTGTTTGTGTGTGTGTGTGTTGTGTATGTATGTTGTTGTTGTTGTGTATGTGTGTGTGTTGTATGTTGTGTTGTGTCTGTATGTATGTATGTGTTGTTGTCTGTTGTGTTGTGTGTCTGTGTGTGTGTGTGTCTGTGTGTGCTGTGTGTGTGTGTGTGTGTGTGTGTGTGTGTGTGTGTGTGTGGGCGTTAAAAACGCGTCTTGAATGTGAGACTCGACGCAAGCGGGAAGGCAAGTGGGAAGGCAAGGCAAGGGTTGGGCTGCTGGCGACCTGGCGACGACAAAGCAGAGACCGTCTGGCCGGCGGGGGCCGCGGCGGGGGCCGGGCCTAGCCGGGCCGGACTAGGCGCTATTTGTCTATGATTCGGCTGCTGTTATCCGATAAGGGGCAGGGCACGGCCGGCACGGCCAGGGACGACGCACCGGCGACTAAGGTGTCGCAATGACCGCCCTCTCCCTCTCTCTTTCTCTCTCTGACCGCTCTAAATAGAGGCCAGCCCTGTTAAAAAAATGATTAGAGAAATTTTTAGAAAACAAAATTGGTTTGTAAGCGACACAGCAATTTCGTTTTCTAAAAAAAAAATTTAAGACACCGTTTAAATTTAAAAATTTTAAAAACGTTTTCAAAGTAACGGCGTAGGGGCTTAAGTCGGCACGCGTGTCTGTTTGGACACAAAGCAATTAAAGGCTCGTTGCGGTCGGGCGGCGTGGATGCGGTGATGCACTGTGTGATGCAGCGATGCCGTGCACGGGCCCGATTTCCAGACAAAAGGATGATGGCATCTCCGTGTGATACGACTAAAGGACCCCGCCGCCGCGCCTCCGCCCCCGCCACCGCGAGGGGCCAGGCCAGGGCCAGACCGACCGCGGGCCTACCGGTCACGGCGTACAAAGGGCACAGTAGACGCGTCGGAGCGGCGGGAAAGTTTAGGTTTTCAAAACGCGTCGTCCGTGGAATGCGTTAATTACCCCGGCTGGCTTTGCCTCGCTTTGCCTCGGATTGTGTCCGGTTTGAAGTGTTTCCGCTGTGGCGGCTGCTGCGGACTCCCCTAGCAGGACAAGGACCCCCGCCGCCGCCCCCACAATGACCCTGGCCGTCAGAGGCAGGGCCGCGGGCCGCGCCAAGGGCCGCCGGGGTCTAGACCGGGGTCGGACTCATTTCGTCGCCCGATCCCCGCCATCGATATGATAATATAATTGAATTCGATTTTTGTGTAGCCGGACACCACGGCCATTCAAAAGTATTGCGGCTCCGCGGTTGCTCCCCGCGTCTCCCTCCCTCTCTCTCACGCGGGGCGAGTGGGTGCGAGAGAGAGAGAGAGAGAGAGAGAGAGAGAGAGAGAGAGAGAGAGAGAGAGAGAGAGAGAGAGAGAGGGAGAGGGGAGAGGAGAGAGAGAAGAGAGAGAGAGAGGGGGGGGGGGGAGCGCCCCGTGATAGCGATCCGCCATTACTTGGTTCACTCGGTTGCTCTATTACACTGGGCGGTAATTGCCGACGAAGACTCGGCGATGTCGTCCATCTAAATCACGATCGGCTTCGGCCTGTCGATCATCGCGTTTGCCGCCGCACTGTTTGCGAGGCGAGAAAAGCGAGCCAAACCATCGCGGTGTGCGATTACGCATGCAGATCGTCACTCCGTCTCTCTCGCTCTCGCGGGGCGTGGCGGCGTGTCGTAGTGGGTGCGAGAGAGACAGAGCGACGGAACGCCGCCGGGAATGCTCAAGCAGGGACGCAACTGCACTGCGCCAGGCGGCAGATTGCTCCAGTAATTTTGTATTTCCGATACAGAGAGGCACGTCTGCGTCTCCTGCCCGCGTGGGCAGGTAGGCAACCAGGCAACCCATGCGGTGAACGCGAGCGCACCCCATTGCCGTCGCTCTCTCTCTCTTCTCTCTCTCTCTCTCTCTCTCTCTCTCTCTCTCTCTCTCACACACACACACACGCACACACACACACACGCTTCGAGCGATTGATATTCTCAAATGACGGTCGCACTAACTTCTCCCCGCTTCTTTGTGTTGGTTTCTCGTAATTAATGGCGGGGGTAAAGTGTACATTACGCTGTACACCCGTCACATGCAGCGCGGTTTACTACACCACGCGAGACGGAAAGAGAGAGAGAGAGAGAGAGAGAGAGAGGTGATATGAATAAAAGCTAATTGCGTCGGTCGGAAAGGTGTCGCTTGGCAGGCGATGTGGAGTACGGTACGGTATCGCCCTTGAGGCACACCACGCGTTGCAGTTTCGCACTGAGTTCGGCTCGACTGACGACTTGCAGCACACAGCACACACACACACACACACACACACACACGACGGGGCCTTCCTACCGTGCGAGTGCACTATTTCGAGGTCCGGAACGGTAGCTTCAACAGTCGAATTCCCGTTCGATATTTTTCCTATCCTTTCCACTCGTGTGAGTGCAATGTGTGTGAGTGTGTGTGAGTGCACGCGCGCACACTGGCCGTCATCGGTCCGTGCCAAGCTCGCCATACGCACCGCCAGTTGTTTGAACAGAGACATTCCGAAGCGCCGAGCAAGGTCCTCTCTCCGTCTCGCTCGCTCGCTCGCGCCTCAGCCACGGGGCAGCCACGGGGTGGGTGTGCACACCGTGTGCTGGCCGATGCGCCGATAGGGCGCATTATGCAAATGAGCGTTTGAT